AGGTAGCATGTTTTATACTTAATGTGAATATAATTCATACTATGTTGGCATCTTATTCTGAAAACCGGATGTTCGTCTGAAGAAACCGGATGTTGTCTCACGTTAATCTTTCCGCTAACTTTCAAAGTCCTTCGCTCGCTCCCGATCTGTGCCGTTTAAATGCGTTTACCGTGAATTTCAGCATATAGGTGCACTAAAATGTAGGTGTCTGCTGACTTTACCGCAGCGATGTCCAGTAGTCTGCAGGGAGAGCAACAGTTCTTGTCATCCTCTTGTTGTTATGTATATATATATATATATATAAAAGAAGAAAATGGAACATTTGATTTATGTAAGTGCTACTGAAGTGGAGATTTCTGGCTAAGAGTTTCAGCCTTGGACTGTAAAATGCCATACACTTTGAGGACGCTATTGAATAGGGGGTGAAAAAGGACTATTAGATATCGCCATGAAACCTCCCAGTTCATTACATTAAGACTACTCTTATTTATTACACGTTTTATGTTAAATGTGCAAATGAGGCATTATCCAAAATACTGTAAGAGGAATCAACAGACACAAATAGACAAAGCAGTAAAAAAACAACCTAAATGTGTATCTTGGATGTTTTCTGTTCACTAGTCTGGAAGCGAAATAGCCCAAAATCTCACTAGTGAGTGCATGAAAAACTATATTTTTGCCTGTAGTGTTTCCACTTTGGGATATAGAAGATATCCCTAAGATGGAACATTCACAACACAGCGCTGCAGCATGGGCACAAATCCCCCCCCCCCCCCCTCTTTTTATTGGCCCCTGTAATGCCTGGAGTTGTTGGAGGTTACGTGGAAACTGCGTGGAAAGATCAAAGTCTAAAGATGTGCAGAGATAACACGGGCTTTCTGATTGGAACGCATTGATCAGCCAAATGTGCTGTGACCCATAATCAAGGGCATGGTGATGATGATGATGATGATGATGATGATGATGATGATGATGACCGAGTAGCTTTATTAAAAGTGCAGGAGTCCCTGGATGTTTCCTGTAAAGCAGGTGGCATCGGCTCAGCACTCGGCTGGACACCGCAGCGTCCCGTGGAGTTAATTGATCGAAGCGGTGCAATCCAACAAGCCATTTATAATAGAACTGCGTTGGTTGGGTATGCATTTAATGTCAGCAGTAAGGAGGGAGAGAGAAAATAAGGATCCCATGACGCCCACAGCTCCACGGTGACATCACTGGGTCTAAAAAACGAAGCGCGAGAGGGAGATGGGGAGGCACCCCACTCATTAGATTCCGTCGCAAGTCACGAGTGAAGATGATGCTGCGCCTCCGCGAGGACGCCCGTGATGTGTGCACCGGCGGAGCGGCTGTTGAATTTCTGAAGAGACAGGAGCCCCAAGGAGAGCGGAGACGGCTCCCGAGACGCGCAGATTGAAACCGCTTCGCGAGGCTAGTTCCACCACCGAGGAAACAACGCGTTTCGACTGCGCATCTGTACCCGGACCGAGAGCTGGAGAGCTCGAGGTTTTTTTAACTTCAAGTTTTGTGTTTTGGGTCGACTGACCGGAGACGCTGCCAACCCGGTCAGACCGATCCTTCGCAGGGGGAAGGTGGGGAGACATCAGCACCTGTTCATTACCTGTAAATATCGCACAGTGACTTTATTTCACTTTATCTGAGCCGCCCCGCGTTCGCTGTTCAGATGATACTGTCGCTTAAACGCGCGTCTCCAAAGAAGGACGCACGGAGATCGCACAGGGGCCGGGATTATTTACTCTCATCCCTCTTGTATTCAATGTCGCTCCGCTATAAATGACCCTAAATTACATTTTTATGAACTGAATACCCCCATCTTTAAGATATCAATTAATCCACTGAGAAGGGGAGGAGAAAGGATCAAACTTTGTGCGCAAAATAAGTTGTTCAGGCTTTTTCTTTTCTTTTGTAACTCTGCAAAGGTTGGTGCGCAGCAGGCACTACTTTTTTTGTGGGTGGCTGGGGCATCTGTTCTACGAAGTGACGTTCTTTTTTAAATAGAAAAGCAGTGATCCGCGTCTTGACGCATTACCCAGGACTGGTTTGCGTGCTTAAAATGGACTTGACGGAGCTGCCGCGGAGGATGCAAGGGAGCTACCGTTTGGCAACGACACAGGGACAAAACTGAGGTAAATACCATACAAATTATACCTCATTATCATCACGTATATTATTTAAAAATGCAAACGCTGTTTTATTGCGCACAATCCATATGATAATCTCATGACACACAAGTTTATTATTAAACACCCGTAGTGGTGAAATTCATTTTGGAGACAGTTTATTCAATGACCAAACATGTTTTGTTGTTGTTTTTTTGTATTCTGTACAGACTCCTGGAAAAATCTTCTCGGTTCTGGAGAACAGCTGGTCCATGGAGCTGAGCGGCTGGAACAGCAGCAGCGTGAGCAGCGCCGGAGCCTCCGTGCACAACCAGAGCATCATGAAGCTCGCCCCTTACTCCCCCGAAGCCACGGCGGCCTTCGCCACCGCCATAACCTTGATGGTCATCTTCACCATCGTTGGCAACATCATGGTCATCATCGCGGTCCTGACCAGCCGGGCTCTCCGGGGACCGCAGAATCTGTTCCTGGTGTCTCTGGCCGCCGCGGACATTCTGGTGGCCACGCTCATCATCCCCTTTTCCCTGGCCAACGAGCTGCTCGGCTACTGGTACTTCAAATCCCTGTGGTGCGAGATCTACCTGGCGCTGGACGTGCTCTTCTGCACCTCCTCCATCGTGCACCTGTGCGCCATCTCGCTGGACCGCTACCTATCGATTTCCCGGGTGACGTACGGCCGCCAACGGACTCCCAAGCGCATCAAAGCCGCCATCGTGGTGGTGTGGCTCATCTCTGCCACCATCTCCTTCCCGCCCCTGCTCTCGCTGAACAAAAGCGAGGGAGGGGAGGAGGGCAGCGAGAGGGGGCCCCAGTGCGAGCTGAACGACGAGCGCTGGTACATCCTCTACTCCACCATCGGCTCCTTCTTCGCGCCGTGCCTCATCATGATCCTGGTCTACGTGAGAATCTACCAGATCGCCAAGCAGAGGACGCGCTGCCCGCCGGGAGAGCCCCGGAAGGACGGGGTGGGCTCCGCCACGCCGAGTCAGCCCCCGCGACGCGTCGAGGCCAACGGGAAGGAGGACGAGGAGAGCACGCCTCCTTCATCCAACAAGACCTCCAACACCAGACCCCCCACCCTCGCCATCACCCTTTCCCCTTGCCCAGGAGACACGCAGACCACCCAGTATCCCACCTCCAATAACCTCCTGCAACCTCCGTCCCCTTCTCTCGCTATGACCCCTGTCACGACCTGCCATGACACCTCTTCCCACGGGTCCTCTAGCCCCCCCTTCCCCGCGCCCCAGCCCGCCCCTGCCAAGACTAACGAGAAGGGGAAGAAGGGCAAGCGGCAGGGGTGGAAGAAAGCTGACAACAACAACGGCGACAGCTCGAGCTCGGAGAGTGACATGGAGCACAGCCACGGGGGAGGCCGAGGCAGCGCCAGCATGCCGGGGTCACCGGGTGGGGTCCACTCCCCGGCCTCGGTCAAGCGCTACCGGGACATGATCGCCACCTCGAAGGGGGCCCGGCTAGTGCCGGGGTGGAAGTCCAAAATGGACAACAACCCCGGGGCGGCGAGGCGCAAAGCGATGGTCAACCGGGAGAAGCGTTTCACGTTCGTCCTGGCGGTGGTCATCGGCGTCTTCGTGGTGTGCTGGTTCCCGTTCTTCTTCTCTTACTCCCTGCAGGCGGTGTGCCCGGAGACGTGCGCCATCCCCGGGCCCCTCTTCACGTTTTTCTTCTGGATCGGCTACTGCAACTCCTCGCTCAACCCGGTCATATACACCATCTTCAACAAAGACTTCAGAAAGGCCTTCAAAAAGATACTGTGCAGAAGCACCAAGGGTACTTTCTTTTAGTAGACAGCCCCGCTGTTTAGGACACGCACTGACACACACAAACAAAACATGCAATTTCAGAGGCATATGAAAAAAAACCCGAAATCATTTCCATTTTTCAGAACACTCAAAGGGCTGAACTGAGAGACTCTTTTTTTTTTTTTTTACAAGCCAGTGTGTGCGAAACAGGCAATTTAAGGCAGCTTGCAGCAGACACACACACGCACATACATTTTTACAGGGTGTGTGGGGTGACAACAGGACATGGGAGTCCAGACACTTCACTGCTCAGCACTTCAGCGTCGCCGATCAGACTTTGATTGCAAAGTTTTATCTCCAGATCACATTTGACAACGGATAATGCTGGGCGGTGCAGAAAGACAACGCAAGAGAAAACACTGAGAATGAACTCCTCAATTAAAATACAGTTTAATGTATGATATTTATGGAGCAATGGGGGAAGAAAGTACAAAGAAGGAAAAGTGACCTTAGATCCCTGTGAACCTGGGGACATTTTTATTCATCAATACAGAGCACAAGGGGTGGGGCGGGGGGCACAAAGTGAGCAGTGATTTGTCTGCAGTCTTAATTTGCCAAAGCCGCGTGGCAAACATGGGGTCCCTCGATGTTTATCTCAACAACAAGGTTGCTGACAATTTCAAATGTGATAGCAAAAGATAAAAGTGAACAGCCGAACTCGTGGGGCTTTCATGAGGAGGGCGGGCACACGTCAGACAGCTCTGCCTTCGGCGTCGGCCTTCAACGGACACTCAGGTTGTTTGTACTGACACTCTTGGCTTTTTTGGCCTTTCATGAAAGACACAATAAGACTTTGGACTTTCAAAGAGAACCACATTCGCTGTTGTTGTAGAAAGTGAGATCCTCCTCATCCTCCTAGCTGGCTATTCCCTGGTTTTTTAACTTTACCTGGACTACCACACATGATTGGACTGGACTCCTTCTAATGAACTCAGTATTTGGACATTTAAGAGACATTCCAAACTGTTTTAGCCTCTTGAAAGTGCTTCAGAGGTTGTGTCCAACAGGAGGAGCATCTGCTGAAGACTGAACAAAAAAAAAAAGGCTTCTTATTCGACATTGTTTTCCGGAAATCTGATGAAGCAGGTTGACATTTACATTGCCTGCATGTAAACGACAGACGAACAATGCAGTTATGGATGTGTAACGTTAGCCCTAATTACGCCTACACAGGGTTACTGCGAGAGCCATATTTGGCTGAGTCACTCTTTACCAACGCCTCTGGCACATGGCCGCCTGCAGTGGGCCTCCACATGGTGAACTGGGTTTATAGCTGAGAAAATATGAATGGTGCATTTGTTTTTTCTCACCATGAGACCGAGGCTCTCTGTCAGCTTGTAGTGTCTGTATATGTGAACAGCACACAGGCTTATCGACTCAATGGGACAAGGGCTGTCAGCAGCGACAATTCAATTTACAAATTGATACTGCTGACCTGTATGAGTGTGTGTGTGTGTGTGCGTGTGTATGTGTGTGTGTGTGCGCGTGTGTGTGAATGTGTGTGTGTGTGTGTGCGTGCGTGTGCGCGTGTGTGTGCGTGTTGACTTTGGTGTTTTCCTGTAGAGAGTGACAGTGCCTCCTTCCGGCTGCTGGGTGCTACAGATCTACTGTAACGTTGATATAAGAATGGAGTCCAGAATTCCTGGTGCAGGCATCCCTTTGTGAATGTTTCTACTTGACGGACAGATCGGCAGTACGGAAATGTGTCTCTGAACCAAGGGTCTTTTTAGGGATCGCCATCAAGGGGACCAAGGAGCCTCACAGGACACCAGACCCGACTCAGTGACACGCGGCTTCTGTGTCCGCTTTAACGAAGCATCACTTTGTATTTTAGGGTGTGGCCTGTGACCTGTGACCTGTGACGGGAGGCAATGTTTGAAAACACTGTATTATTTATTTCAAAAACGATTTTTGTCTTTTCTGTCCGTTACCTATTTATTGTACTGTGCTTTTATTCTGAAAGTGAAAAAAGAAAAAGTGGAACAGATATCAAAGAGCGAGAACACTGTACAGATTTTTTCAAACCTTGAATTAGAAAGGATGGAGCTCTGGCTTTGTGGGGGTTGAGCTGTATTTGAGCTTGGGGGGGGGGGGGGGGGGGATGCATTTGTGTTGAACCAAAGGAACGTGAACTTTGAGTTATGTGCAACAATGCAGAGACTACAATGCTATGTTTGCCATTTGGTTTCATCTAGCATGGTTAAGAAAAAAAAAGAAAAGGTTCAATCAGAGACTCAAGCACATTCGTGGATGTACAATCTATATATCGAGCAGAAGTCTCTCCTCGGCGCTGCTGTCGAAACTTTTCCTGAAGAAGTGATCGAACACGAAAAAGGCCAACAGCGGCCCGTAGCCAGTTTTTCAGTTGGATGATTTGCAGGCTTTGTGCGGGACATTAAGGCTACAATCCATCCCACACGGAGATGCTCGGAGACTCGAATAACTGACAAAACAAAATGTCTGAGAGCAAGAGCTCCGCGCACGAATACAACCGGTTGTTTTTCTCTCAACAGCTACAGCAACGCAACAGAGGCCATCAATTCATGGCCGTTTCCAATGAATCTGAGTTGCAACGCTGCTCAAATCCCCTTCCCTACCATGGCTTTATGTGTTGAGATTGCTGCTTTGTTTATTATACTAAGAATGACTTATGGCTTACAGGTGATGGATGCAGTAATCCGCCTCTCTATCACGTCCTCTCGCCTGAAACCGCCTGTATTGTCTCTTCTCCAATACTGTGTTTGGACCAAACTGCACGGTCTGAGCTTTGCAATCTCCTGCCCCCCCCCCCATCTGTCATCAAACCCTCTCCAGTTCAGAAAAAAATAAAGCAACTTGAAAACGCATGAGTCATTTCACCGGGCTTGTTCATTTCATATATTTTCCCACATGATACGACATCAGGGACGAGGGAGAAAGATCCTTTCCGGGAAGAGAATTAACAAACAGTTAGTGTCACAAGAGTCTTAACAGAATCATGTTGTTGTTTTTTCCAGCATATACACATTGAACCCAAGCGCAATCTAAAGCAATTGCTAGCCAGCGAATGGCAACGCAACTTCAGGAAATAGACCGCCACATTGATCGCTGATGGAAGTTCAAGATGTTCATTGGAAAAATGTCCTACCACAGTGGGACACATGAGAAGTAGGCTGCAGCAGCATGTCGCCTGCTGCCAACAAACACAGAGGAAGTCCATAAGGGGTTGGAGCATGTTGCCAAATATCACATATGCACACACACACACACACACACACACATATTGAATGTCTCATTCTGCACTGAGTGTCACATACTGTATTCCAGTCATGAAGCGGACTCAATCCACACATATGCAGCCACACACACACATTTGTAGTGACAGCTTGTTATATTTGAGGTCAGCAGGCCCACGGTGAATAGTAATTGATTTATGTTGATGGGCAGGCCGGGGATTTCTGAGCACTGAATTAAGCCCCTCTGTCCTGCTTTTTCTTCTCACACACACATACACACACACTGACACACACACACAAATTGATGGCCACCATAGAGACCTTATATACGCTGCTCCTTCTTTATAGCCTCAGCTGGAATATAAAGCAGGCCTGACCCGGTGGTAGTGGACCCTCCGGAGAGTCAGCGTGAGGCGCAACATACTCATTAGCCTCTTATTTCCACACTGTAGTAGCCTTGAGAAGAAATTGCGCGCGCAAAGCTCAGACGCAAGGAGAGGTGCACACGGACAGACACACATTAATGCTCATTGTGGGGTTTATGATGGATGTGGCATTCGGCAGTATGAATATGTATGTGTTTGGAGGGCGTCCTGGCGTTTTTCCATTTCCAATCTCCTGGACGTTCTGATGGCAGATAGATTTTCTTCACTCTGTAATTTGGCGGCTGAAAAACGCCCAAGAGGCAGGATGAGAAATGAGAGAAGGAGCGCATGAAGGTGGGGGTATTAAAATGCACTTTGCGCTTTGTGTGATAAAAACATAATTTTTAGGGGGCACGGGGCAATTATGATTAGAATCGCTTTAGGAGTGTGGCTGTTTAACGTATCGGTACTCAACAGTTTATGTGTGTGTGTGTGTACTGAAAAGCGAAAAAAGAAAAAGTACACAAACTAAAATAAGACTAAAAGTGAGAATACACTTAATATGTATATTTGTGTGTGTGTGCGTGTGTGTGTGTGTGTGTGTGTGTGTGTGTGTGTGTGCAGTTCTACCTTTGGGAGGACCAAATCAAGCTTTAAACCTTGATGGTGTGAAATATTAGGGCATTTTCTTCAAAGACGTGGTTAAAGAGTTCTGGGTTGGGCATGCAGTTGTTTATTGTTTACCTGGCCCTCTGGTATCTGTTACCCTGGCAACGACTGCTCTTACCGGGGATCACACAAGTACATAATTAGCACAGGTTTGTACGTTACACCACATACAGTTAATAATACATATTTAATCTTCCTGACTGCATCTTAGCAGCTCTTTGCTGGCAGTGTAAATGTTATCAGATATTCATATTATTCATAACGTTGCATTTGATTGTTTTACTTTTTTGACTAACAGTGATTTCTCCTCTTTTATGTGGACGACTTGACTATTTATTCCTTCCGGCTTCAACTGCTAATATGCCAATGTGTGAAGGTAAAATCACAATGCCAAAATAAGTTAGATAGAGTTTTAAAAAGCGTAGAAAGACAGTAGCTGCCCACAAGAGCCCTTGCAGGGATGACTATAGTTGTATTGAACAGAGTTACAATATCAGAAATTGCTCCAAACATTAACTTTACATCAAACCAAATGCATCGAAGGAATAGGTATAAAGTATGGCAGTCTACTCCAGTGAGATACGGTGACACAAATGACTGTTTTTATGGCATTGACTGAGAGAGAGAATTTTTACAACGAGAGTCCTCACAAGTGCAGACACGCGTGTCTGTGTGTGAGTGTGTGAGTTCGAATAAACCAGATTACAAAAAACACAAAATAAAAGTTCACTAATTGACGCACAAAAGATGTGTCAAAAAGTAAAAGCCAGTCCGTTTCCACAGCCGGAAGTGTGATGACTTTCAGACACCACTGAATTCGGAATGAGGCTCATTTCTGCTTTCCCTCTGGACACAATTACCTTCATGTTTTTCATGGACATAAACAGTGATGCGTTATTGTGCCTCCTGGTGTTGGTAAGGACAAGACTCGCGAGGCCGAATTGTCAAATTATTATCACGGGGGAGCCTCAGGTCCTGCTGTAATAACTCTATTAGTGCTTTGTTTCTTAGAAAAAAAATCTTAGCCAGAGCTCTGAGGGGAATCCAAAGCAGAGTTGAATCATCTGATTGAAAAGTACTCGTGCTGCCTGACAAACGGCCATAAAATCTGCAGTTGATGTGTTGACGGATCGACACCCAACCAAGGAGATGTGCAGTTGTGTACGACTCACAAGCAAGGTCGCCCAATATGAAGAGAGGCGGGGGGGGGGCTGCGTCTTTATTTAGCGCGGCCATCATGGAAAGGTCACAAAGTTCATTTTGACACACAGACATGCATGGACATTCTCTTTGCACATGCGCGCGCGCACACACGCTGAGGCAAACACAAACAAACAAAAAGTCAGAGCACACACACACACACACACACACACACACACCAAATCAAAGTACACGTACACACAAAGAGAAACAAACTCAAGCCTAAAATAGAGAAACATATGACTAACACTCAACCGCACAAACAGATACGCACTTATGAATGTCAGCGCACACACACACACACATACTGTACATGGCCACACAGGCTGTCACATGGGCATACACACACACACACACACACACACACACCATCAACATCAACAAAACAAACAAGATTAAAGCTGTCATTTTCAGCAAAAGCCTTAGCAGCGCTCTGCTGTATAAGTGATCCACAGTAATCAGTGAAACATTAATCTTGTCGAAAAATGTTTACACTCAAATCTTTCTAGAGTGGACTCTGTGTGTGTGTGTGTGTGTGTGAGTGTGTGCGTGTGTGTGTGTGTGTGTGTGTGTGTGTGTGCGTGTGTGTGTGCGTGTGTGTGTGAGTGTGTGGCTGACCGAAAGAAGAGAGAAGAGAAAAGTTTATGCGAATGCAACGGGAAGGATGTTTGTTGACATACAGTATGAGTTTCCGTGTCTGTGTGTGTGTGTGTGTGTGTCATTTTTGGTTCACTAAGACAAACCGGATGTGCCGGGTGAATGTGAAAGTGTCGTGTCCTTTCTGAGCCACACAGCAGCACAGTGGGCTGATTATTGGACACAACAGGAGAGGAGGAGGTGGCGAGGCTCAGGCTCTGGCAGTAAGTCGACACCTGGACGCTGCTTGACGTCCCTCCTGATCCATCGTTTACCAGCCATTTGTTATATAGGGTTGTATAAAGAAAATTGGCCTGACTTGACTGACACAGTTTCCATTACAAACAATCCCAAGGCAAATTTCATTCAATATAATGGACCGTTTTACTCACCACACCTTTTGACCCCACGTTACATCCTTTTTTTCATGATGTGCAAAGTCTGGGACTCCTTCCACATTGATGCAGTAAATTTGTTTCAATGAAGTGTGAGAAAGTGTCGTTCGGACTCACACTTAAAGGTAGTTTTGAAATCACTTACCATGGATGCCTGCCACTATATTCACACAAAAAAATCACCTGGAACCAAAACACATGTTTTATGAAGTAATATAGATGAACTTCATGTGTACCTTATCCGACAAAGTTTGTGTGCACCTATGGAGTCTGTTTGATTAAATACAATTATATTTAGAAGACTCATGACTCATTTATTATTTCCAGCACACACACACACATACACAAAAAAATGTCATCCTGTTTTTCTAAGAATAATTTTTCCGGAAAAAACGCTTCTTTTCTTTCTTGCCAAAGAGTCAGAAGCTACAGCCAGTAGCCAAAACAAAATCCCCTTACAAGTTGCGGTTTTACGGGGCGTCATGTGTTTCTGGCCGGACTCAGTGAACTCCGAGAGGTTCGTTGTCAACCCAAAAAAGCCAAAATTGACGTTTATACTCTTTGTTTTTTAACATAGGATTAAGCAAACACAATATAACGTGTTAATTATTGAGCTTTAGAGGCAGATTATTTTACCTTTTTGGACGGAGCCACAGCTTTCCCCCTTATTCCCTGTCATTGTGTTAAGCTAAGCTAAGTGTCTCTTCGCTTCCAGCTTCGTATTTAATGACCGTATCAGTCCTCTGATCTTGGCAAGAAACGTTATAAGCGTGCACCAAACAAGAAAATTAATTCAAGCCTAGTTAGATTCTCTTATAAATACAGGACGGCTTGAATAAACAGTTATAAATACAGTAACTGCTGATAGTGGATTTCTGCTCGCATCGTTACACAAGAAGACATTTGACTGTAACGCCGTTTTACAAATGAGGCTGCTGACCTTCGTTTGCTGGCATCATCCCACAGTCCCCCCCCCCATGCTTTGAAGTCCTAACAGTGACTGATTTCAGCAGTCGGCCTCTCATCATCAGTGTGGATGAAGGGCTCCTTGTGACTAACAGGAGGAGAGCATCCAGAGAAAGAGGCATTTATTTCTTAACACAGTCTTAACATTCAATCCTTGTTTTTTTGTTTTTTTGTTATTCTCTCTTAGGGTTTGAAAACTTTTTACTGTAGTTTCGAGAAAAAAAAAGTATTAATATGTTTTTTAGTCCACTTTGAAACCGAAGAATGGGGCCACCAGACAAAGAACTCGGCACACAGAGATTATCTCTTTCTACCTCTTTTATAAGATTCAAAGATCTGCAGTGTTGTCTTCGCTCTACTCACAAAGCACTCAACCAGCACATACTGTATGTATGTTTCCGTGTGTAGACAGTACTCAT